TTTCGTCAAGTCTTTTCGAATACGATCTTGACAAGCTTTTTCCACATCCATTTGTTTCTTTCTTTTAGTGTAATCGAAGTTGTTCATATGATTCATTAAATTTTCATCATTGAACATTTCCTCGTACGAGAAGCTCGGTGGAGCGTTCATGCTCCCGTCCGTATCAGTTTGCTGAGGAGCATACTTATATTTTTTGAAGATGTGGATTTGGATTTGGTTTCTTTTGGTGAGGGTTTGGTTTCTTTTGGATACCCGGGGATTGGTTTATTTGGTGAGTCGTGGAGCTTTCCTCCGTCACTCTTAACTACTGGAGGAGACCCTTCTTCGTGAGCTTTAATTAAGGGAACTGGAACCTAATGCCAAATCTCGTGGATTGTCCCCAGAATTGTTTGGAAAAGAATTGCCGAAAAATCCTGGCTAGGCCGTCTAAGCTTGCTGCTGAATCATGCTTCAACTCGCGCCTGGACAATCACTTTGGCCATGCATTGTAGTAGCGATCATACGCTTTTTGCTTAGTTTGGTTATCAGTGAAGAACCCGTTCATTTGTGCCTGGATGCTATATTTGGCAAATAAAAAATACTAATTGATAGCGGGTTGGCATTTAGTTTTAAGCCGCGTCTTGAGAGACAGTTCCCATAGCAGTATCTACAGTTGCTACGACTTCACGTAGAATATGATCATAAATCGTAAGCGCGTAGTTCGTGTTGTTCGTGCCCGAAACACTGATCGACTTGCTTGCACCATCTTCGCTGGGTAGACGACGGCCCATGTCAACAGCAATGAATCGGTACAGTGATTCCCATATACGCTGAGACAGTAAGCCAACATTAGTGACATCATTGAGGCCACCATCAACGCTAGATTTTGACATTTCTTGTACGAATAGATCGTAGCCGAAGTTGGCAGGGTTATTCCAAATTGGGACGTTACCCACTGTTACTTGGATATTTTTTAAAGCTGCATAAGGACTCGTCGTGGCTGGCATCGTTGAAAAGCAACTACGGAATGGATTGATCACATCTGGTAAAGAGCTTGGTCCAGGCGTTACATTTGTAATAACAGGTTGCATAATCAATTTCTTCGGATTGGCAATACCATTCGTCACCGCCCATGAAAATGACTGACCGGATTGGACAGTAAACTTGTTGGTTACACGCTCAAAGTAACGGAACATCTTCTTTGGGATGAGAGCGTTGTCAGCTGATGGATTTGGGCTATACGTTGGAACCAGTAGACGAGAGAATGTCTGCGATGGAGCAATACCACTTCCCGAAGTTGCAGTACCATCAACATCGGCTGTGACTAATAAATTTGTTGATCCTGGAACAGCTTAACCAGTTGATTCGCCAGTGTTGGTTGTCTTTGCGGATGAACCATTCCGGAGAATTGGGCAAGTGTTGCCGAAGCTCATGTTACTGTTCATGCTAGCAATATTCGTTGCTGCAACCGTACCTGCTGATCCACCAGTGGTAATTGACGTAGCAGAGCTGTTATAGTTGATATAGATGAACCCCTTCGTGTTCTTTTGCATTGGCCATATTTGAAGTAGTCGGATAAGTCAGAGAGCTTAATGCAGGCTAAATAAAGAGCTACGTAAAATGGAGCACCGGCAGCAACGGCGCCAGCTGGCGCGACGTATACTTGCGGCTTTGACACAGCTTGGATACTGGCATTAGATCCCATGATATCATATGCAAGTTTACCGCTGCTTTGATCAAGCGCGGTGAATAGCGATCGTTCGTACGCACCTACATTCGAAAATGTGTTAAAAAGACCCCATTCGCCAACGGTGCCATTAATATAATTGGATGTTGTCATGTTGTCAAGATTTTGGGCGACTCCGGGAATTGGTAGACGATATTCATCTAGCACGAAGTTGCTCCTTGGTCCTTGTTTAATGTAGGAGTTGTAGTCCCATTCGGTTAGCGCCTTGAACGTAGCATTCACATTTTCATGAACTTGATTCGTCTGAACGGTCACGCCATCTACAACAACTTACCCGGAATCAATGAATTGCCAGGCATATGCCTTAGGAACAAGCTGATCAACGGTACAAGCAGCGGTCGAGGTAACTGAAGATTCTCCAGCATTGAGAATCTGAAGCTTGATTGGAAGATCAATGACAGCCTCTTCCCAGTTGACAAACGCAGCTTGAGAAGAGGTTAAATTGAATTTGACCAGCGTATTTACCAGTGTTACTAGTCGAATCCTGAATATAGGTCCATTTCTTATCACGAAAGAGCGTTTTAGCTGGAGCTGGTTCGACGGAGTGCTCGAAAGCAGAGATATCACTTGCGGTGGGCATTGTATAGTACGAGTTT